CTACTCAGCTTATTACTTTCCCAATGAATAACAAATGAGTTGTCAAATAAAAAGGCAAGTAAACACGGGCTAAAGAGACGCTGATGCAAATATTTCATGAGAACATATGAGGAGGCAAATCAACCTCTGAATTCAAACAACAAGAGTGTGACGGAGTCTGTACGTCTTTGAACCCTTCATGGCCTCTTTCTCCCGTCTGCTCTTACGCAGGCACATGTGGCGTCTTGCCTACTCATCCAAACAAGGGGCCAAATTACTTTAATTATGGAGTAATTGCAGTCTTGTGTTAATTAAATCTTTATCAGTTGAAGTAAGTGGATTGCTCCCACATGGAAACCATGCAGCGACGTGCTGGCTTGCCCCCCCCCCCTCCTCCATCTCAGTCTAAAAATGTCTTTTCTTCCCAGTCTCACCCGGCTCTCCCCTCTCCCTCACCCCTGGGTCTCGCACTGAAATGATTGGGATTATAGCGTCATTTCTGGGGGGAAGGAGAGTTGTTGTTTCACCAACTCTGTCATTAGCCAGCTATCGCCCCCCCCCCCCGAAAAACATACTATAAAAAACATGATGGCGCTGGAGAAAGGGAGTGTCCTCCACTGGCAGATGAGATACAAGATTTATCTTAGGTTCCTGGTGTTTGACAAAATTGAATCCTCTCATTTTAATTGCTCTCGACTAGGTGTGCTGCTCCGGGCGATGGAAACAGGAGCTCTCTGTGTCCGTCCCCTTGTTCTCTGCAGACTATTTTGTTCCATTGTGCAAAGTGCCGATTATGATTTGCTTTATCCTTGTCATCTATCTTATTTAGGAACATTTAGATAGCCACATGGTACAAAGGAACAGCAGTCCGCCTTGTTATTACGTGCGTTTGAGTCCCCTGCTTCCTGTAATGAGAACAGGATCACAGCAGAGAATTAATCTCTCTGAAGACTTACTCACCGGTTCAAGGCCTCACTACATGGACACTTTGTAGAAAATGGAAGAAAAGTGGCTTGTTTTGTCGAGCTCTAAAGGCTTTTGAGGAATATTAATACAGCCTGTGTGTCTCTCTGCTTTCGCTCCACAGTTTTTAATAACGATTATAATACATTTATTTGATGGCGCCTTTCTCAACACCCAAGGACACCTCACATACAAACACAGGAATAATGAACTCTTTGTGGTGTTCTGGCCTCTGGGACCTATTTTCAATGTTTACTAAAACAAAAACTAATACAGTAAATTATTTTTTAACCTCAGAATAATTGGCGTTGGCTCATTTTCTGTGGAGACGTGTGTGTTTGTGTGTAAGTGGGAGAAAGAGAGAGAGATAGAGAGAGAAAGTAAAAGTCCCGATTTAAGTATTTTCATCAATCTCAGATGCGGCCAGTTGCAAAAGTTTGACACATAATAAATGCATAGTGATGAAAAACATTCTGTCGTGTATTTGTTCAAGATAAATATATCTGTACCCATATTTCTATAATAATTGTTTTCTATATTACATTTGATCACAAACATGACTTGCACTTTAATTGATGAATGTGATCTAAGAGAAGTAAATGGCCGTGCAGGTTAGTATCAGGTAAACATCATGGATCCATACTGGCAAACACTGGCTGAGACATGAACACCACAGGAGTTTTATAGTCAATGGTTCTAAATAGATCAAGAGGCAGAGACACCTAACAATACATACAAGGTAAACAATGAAATTAATTAAGTAAATCCAAAGGTTAAAATCAAATTAGATATGACGGGAGAGAATAGGATGAGGTCATGTTGGGTAAACTGAATGTCCAGGATGTTGCTCCATGTTTTTCAGAGTAAGAGGAGGGGGGGGACGTTTTTGCAGGATAGAAATAAGTAGATCCCCAGAGTGACTATGAACAAGTTAATGATACATTACACTGATATAAATATTCATCCTTAGTTCCAATAAAACAAAATGTATAAATCTGAATGAACATTTTCACTGTGTACTGTGTCATAATGTGCATATCACTTGATGTCATAACCTTTATTAATCCACTGCTATTCAAACATCACTGTTGTTCATTTGCAGTCATTGATTCACAAATGCACCAATTGAAATGCTACAGTTTTGTCTGGACACTGTCAGAGAGCAGCTGCTCAGTAGTGAGAATGTTTATGGGACGATGCGCGGCTGGAATTGTGGCTGTGAAGCAGATTCAAAAAAGGCTTAAGTGGATTACACCTCATTTCAAGGATGCTTAAGGTAAGATTAAAACAGATATGTGGTAAGTGAGGAAAATACAAACTCAAATATTTCACTCAGTGGTCTCGTGAGCCACTTGCTCATGCATGGATCTCCTGTTCGTATTTGTGAGCCTAAAAAGAATCAGCAAATGGTGTGAGACAATATGTAGATTGTCAAAGTAAACACACACACACACACACACACACACACACACACGTTTCAAACAACAGTTTTGCTCTGTTGGACCGTCACAATTCACCATTAATGCCCTTTCTTATCTCATGCTACAAATCCCCAGCGCCGGAACATTAGAACTCTCTAATCACACTCACTGGCACATATTGAGTGTGTGTACATGCACTCTAGCACCACACACACACACACACACACACACACACACACACACACACACACACACACACACACACAGACACCTCACATATAATCTGAAAAGATAATGAATTTAATACCACTGCTGTTACAGTCAACTAATGTTTGTTAATAGCCTAGTGCCATATGGAACGAGGGCCTCAGCCATGTGGGTAATTCCTCTTTTTGGACAAGCTGTCAATAAAGAGGGGCCTTGTGTTTTCTGGACGCACGGGGTAGAGGAAGGGGAGGCTGGGAGGATGTGCTTAATCCAGCAGACTCTCTAATGATCCGTCCGCATCGAGTCGGAGCCACAGGCCTCGATGAATATGCTCGCAGCCGTGTGTTTATCTCTGCTATCAGAGGGAGAATATTCACTTTCTCCATTCAGCCTTTGTGCTGCAGTGCGGCCTGGCCTGGGTGCAAGACCTCTGGTTGTCTGTGTGGCGTTTGGGAGGAGGAGGAGGTGGTGCTGGGTGGAAGCAGTTGTTTTAAAGAGAGAAGACTTCATGAAGTGCCTGATTACCCCCCCCCCCCACCTCCTGCCATCTTCCCAAATTCACTGCATCTCCTCCCCACATCCCTCTGCCAGCACTGCAGCCCAGCGGATAACCGAGCGTGGATTAGCAGTGACATCACACTGAGGAGACGGCTGAGCCCGAGTGTGAGGAAGCGTGAGCGCTCGGGTGTGTGTGTCAGATGGGAGTTATATGTGTGTGTTCAAGACTGATTAGACGGCGAGGGTGGTGGTGAGAGGGAAGCGAGGATTAGAGAGCCATCCGAGAGTTGGCTAGGTGCTGACACCACTCCACCTCACCAAGGGCTCAATTTACTGAGGGATCAGACTCATTTATGGTGGGCTGGGATTATTATCAGTTCAATAGGGCAATTTCTTTATTACAGTCACCCTTCAACCTGTGAAATATGGACACTTGTGAGACATTTATGAGTGCATGTATCTTGCTTCACTTCTAATCTGGTGCCCGCTGCTGCAATTAATGGAGTGTGAGCAGCAGGTATAGCATAAGCTCTAATGATCTTTCTAATACAAACTCTAAATGTAAATTGTGTCTTTATAGAGGCAGATTACAATAAAACAGTTTTTGGTTTGGTTTCAGGAAAGTTTGGTCACAAACACCAGAGGGCCGGGATGATTATGGTTTCTTTTTTAGGCCTTCAAATTTTATAATTTAGGGATCTCTGTTCCTGAGGTTGCAGTCATACTCCATCCCGAGCCCTGAGATATCCTGAGATCTAGCAGGGGCTGCTCCTAATATCTAGAACAGTTTATGTTCATTTCAGAACCGCTCAGAGCCTATAACGTTAAACTACTGTTACAAAACACCTCTCTCCCTTTCCTTTCTTTTGAGTAGACACCTTGATTTCATCTTCTCATGAAATATTTTAATCTTAAAGTATTTATGATGTTTATCTGTTTTTTGTCATTTCTTAATCATGCTCTGTGTTTATATATATTTTCATATCCTTTTATTTTTCATTTTAAGCCTGTAGAGCACTTAGGTCAACTACTTTTTTATTTCATTTGGTTTTATAAATTAACTTTGACTATGTTTCAGTTTGGGCTTACCTACAATGTCAACACTCAGAACTGAACCTTTTGCAATGCACTGATTCTTAAACTAATACTAATTACTTCCATGGTTCATGTAGCCTGTGAGTGAATGGTGAAATAAGATATGCACATATAATTCAGAATTAAAACTGTGGGTTCAGTCTTTACTGTAGAAACCCTCAATCATTCAGTTGCTCCAGAGCTTTCAATCAAATCCCATGATCTTCCTCAGCAGATTGTCTTATAAGAGCTAAAATAAGAAATATAAATGTTTAAAATTCCATTAACACACAGATCCAAACTTATTATTTGACTTTGCACTTGACCACATTCATCAGAGTCCGATCTGTTTTCAGAGACAAACTCAATCACACATGCTTCAAAAACAAAGCTGAAAGATAAAGGTGAGACAGATACTTTATTGATCCTGAGTGAAATGCAGGCGTCCAGTAGCACAAAACAGTCAAACACAAGATTGTAAGGTTAATAAAAGATAAGTTCACTGCAGTGAGATGACAGCCACCAGAACTATTACAAAACCGTCACTGTAAAGAGCTATGTGCTAATGAAGAGATTGACATTACAATGTTTTAAGTATACAGTGATTGAAAGACACAAGTAGTATTGAAGCCAAATATAAAACCAGATTTAAAGATAAATATCAGAAGCAATAAAAATTAGGTGGATATAAATAAAGACAAATCAGTAAAACATGCATGAAGAGAACAGGATGGACTCTTTATTCATTATCAGAAGATTTCACGCAGAAGTGGTCGCAGGAGAAACAATGAGGTGCAGAGAGTTTATAAAGAGGAGCAGACCCCCCCCCCCACCCCCCCTTTACTCTGAACGAGGAGGTCTGTGAGTTGTCATCGCGTGGGCAGGTCCTCCATGGACGTGCTCCTCACACGAGGGGGATCACTCGTCCTCTCCCGCAGCAACTTGCGTAAATTGCTTTATAAGCCACACACATGAGTTAACCACTACGCTGGTGAAAGTTTGAGGAATGGCGCGTTTCCTAGTATCGCGAGTTTAGCTCTTCGGGCGCTGCTGCTAACCCCGGAAGCAACCGCGTTAGGTTAGCTAACTGCTAAAACTGCAACAAATGAACTAAAGTCTTTATTTTGAGTCACGTTCACTTGATGTAAGCTGCAGCCTGACGTCTGTGTTCATGTAAACAGTCGCTTCGGGGTCTCGTTTATCGTCTCCAGCCTTCAATGAATGGGCGCTAGTAGCGTTAGCTCGTTAGCTAGTCGCCATTAGCTAGCAGTTGTTTTGAAACCTATCTGTGTTTAGTCTTAAATTAAAATGTCCGCGGAGACCCGGAGGAGCTGGATGTTGACCGGGGCCACGGTCGCTTGTGTCACCGCGCTGTATGTGCCCTGTGTCCAGAGGACGGTCCCCGGGGGAGACTCAGGTTGGTGCTAGCCTTCTAGCTAAATGCTACAGTGGTCATGTGGCTTTGTTGTGTTGCCTGGCAGCCAATCACGTGCTGCTGCAGCGTCAGTGGTGCTGTCCGTGGTGCTGCAGATCACTGACCACAGATTTAAGACAAATTCATTTCAGATAAGGTCTGATAAAAATAACTGTTAGTAAAGAAACTGATAGAACTCTTTGTACTACATGCAATTAATTTAATAAACAAACAGCTACAATGTGTCAAATCGTCACAATTATTGTTGCATCGTTTGTGTGTGTGTTTTTTAATCTTTATTGTCTTATGTGTATTTCACTCATATGTTTTCCCATTGTTGGTGTGACAGACAAACTGTCTTTAAATGTTGGCTGCACTTCATTTCATTTCTATGTGTTTGACATAGAAATAATTGAAGTGTCCCCGTGTGTCACTGGAAATGTTCCCACGAAACAACCTTGATGTTGATTAAAATGCCAAAATATCCTGGAAATGATTGTTTATTGTTCTGGATCTTTAAAATTATAATTTAGCCCCTTAAATAGATAGACTATGAAACTTCAATGCGTGTTTGAAATTGATCTCACTGTTTGTAAGATGCTGTGATTGTGTGATTCATAATTGTTACAGAGGTGGACTATGGTGTTTCCCCCCCCCATAATTTTAAAGTTTATACAAGGGATGTGTGTGTGAGATATAGTTTTTACTGCCACAACTGAATAAAACATTCATGTAAATGTTTAAACATGTTTATGACTAAGAAAAATAAGGCAAACAACCTTATTACATGATTAACACTGATGGATGTTGTCTTCACCAGTAATTGAGATGCATGATCATGAACACGACAGCATTAGAGAGGAGGAATATAAATGTGGTTAAATGTGTCAATAGGCCTACTGTTAAATCATGTGACTGTTTAAGACCAATTTTTTAACAGATTTTAACCAATGGATGGATCAACATAAGTCTAACCTAATTTCTATGCAATGATAATTATGACAAATCATTTGTTGTTCATGAAGTTTTTAAAAGTTTACTTTGTCTAAACTTTTCCCTTTTTTTTACAGATCTGCAGGAATGCTCCCTTTTCTGTATTCACAAGGAGACAAATAGCAGAGTGCTCTTTCTTTTACTGACTGCACTGGGTGATGCAGACACCATTTGTAATGGCAAAGCATTGTTGACAGCCCTTGACTTGCAAAATAATTTAGCTTGTTTGTTTACATTCAAATGTTGTGTGTATGCATAAATTCAATTTGCACTCTTCTGTAAGACGGCTTAACAGTGGACACAAAATATATTTCCCTCAGCACCTTCCTATGTGGTCGGCCAATGTGTTCTCCAACATTCTTGTAATGCAGTTTATGAAGTAACGCATTGCACAATTACAAACTGTTTAGAAGTGATAGCAAGGTTACAAACTTGCAAATGTGGACTTGAGGCCATGAAGGCTCTGCTTGTTAGGTCTGCACTGCTCTGGCGTACAAGCTGCTGCGGAGAGGGGAATGCACAATTTGCAGAGTGAAAGCATATAAAAAGCTCGGCCAGATATGGGCAAGCAGAGACGAGGAGAGAGCAGGCAATTGGAGCGCTGAGTAGCCCTGCTGCTTGTGCTGCTGTCTAGAGAACGGGGCCTTTGAAAAAAAAAAAAATGGCCAGCCCCTTCTCCACAGTCTTTAGGGACGGTGCAGGATGCCCGCTCTGATAGTGCCAGCTGAACACCCTTCCGAATTCTCCAGGTCTCCGTCTCTGTGTCCTAATCTCTTTAGGTGTGATGTGCCCTGGAGAGGCTTGAGCGCAGCCCCGCGGGTACGCTGTTGTCTAGGAATGTGGAGTGTGGAAATGATGGGGATTATGGGAAGACTGGTGTGGGTGCCCATGCTCCGCTATCACAAAGACTCTTGGCATCCGTGCTGCTACCCCGTCGAGTCAATATTTTGCCTTTTTAGCGTAGGGGCTGCAGAACCCCATCTCTGTGGCACTGAGATGGATGCTTTGGCTCAGTATTAGTTTGAGTTTCCATGTTGAATGGTGCAAGCGTCTGCTACTACTGAGGGGAAAATGAGTGAAATTGAGAAACTGATGAGGGGAAGTGTGATATAAAATGATGGCAGGTAGCTGGCGGCTCATGTCAGGTGAAATGGAGCTGTGAAAACATTTAAGCTGTGCAGGTGGAGGAGTTCTGACTTCATGGTCCATTAGAGTGATAAGAGTTAGGGCACCTCATGTGGCAGAAATTTAGGCATCGTAATTCACTGTATCGGCAAGGTAGCAAAACACATGAAGCAGCCAATGCCATCTGAAACTCAGCCGCTGTTCTATAACAGTTGCATCATGGCCCATGTTCATGTGAGATGTCATTTTTTTTATTTTGAAAGCACTTAAAAATAAATGAGCTGTGAGCCAGTGTAATGTTAGAAATCACTTCATTTTAAGCATCTTTTTTTAAAATTCATTTAAAACATAACTTTTACCTATAGTTATTTCTCCTCAGGTTATATGTAGTATATACATTTTCCACGCATCCTATATAGATTGTATGCTGGTGAAGTGAAAGACTGTTTTTTCTGTCACCGCTGCAGGAAACAAGGCCACAGTTTTTTGGCTGCTGTGAATGGAGGAGATGACTGCCCATCTCGTACCAGTAGAGGGAGCCATCTCAAACCTTAACATTTATCAATGTCATTTAATCTGAACCAAATTTCAATTTTCATGAGTGGGAGATGAAAACATTGGGTGAGAAATCAGCATAATTTGAAACGCTCTGGGTACATTAAAGCTTCCTAAAATAGCTTTTAGGGGTTTTCTTTTCACTTCGTGCTGCGCCTCACACAGAGCTTGTCAAAAAATTGTGCAACCGGCTCTTATTTTTACAGCTTACCTCATTCTGTGACTGTCACCGGCATCGCTGTTCTGTTTGTGCCCAACGGACTAAACGAGACACTGAGACATTGGGAGTGTGGGAGCAGGAGAGAGGCACGTAGAGCAGCAGAAGAAAGAGGAAGGGAAAGGACCCCGATGCACAGGGAGGATGGGACTGCAAGCATTATTCTCAGATCAGCATATGTGTGTCTTTGTGTGACAGAGCATTGGAGAGGGAGTCTAATGGTTTGTGTGTGCGTGTGTGTGTGTTTATATCTGTGTGTATGTGCTAGAGGAGGGGAGGGAGGCATCAGGGGAGAAGGGAGAGATGAAGAGAATGAGCGTGCCGCTTAGGAAATGTCACACTGGGAAGATTTGCAGGTTTTGATCCTGGCAAATTAATGCAAAACCCCAGTGCAAGTATTTGATTTGGGAAAACTTTGGGAACAGGCTTGTCTCTTAATAATAATTATTGGGTTTACATTAATTTCCTCCCCTATTCTCTTCCACAGGAGAGCTGATCACCACTGCTTGTGAGCTGGGGGTAAGTATTAGCTGTATTGTTTAATCAATTCACTCATTAACTTTTATAAGCATTAAGGAAGTTTAATTAAGCATGGGCAGAAAGCAGATTAATTTACTTTCAGTCCACAGGTTTTTCCCCTTCTTTTCTATACACTTATTTTACTAAGTTGCAAATAGAGAATGCTATAATTTGCAACCCGTTTTTCAAATCCAATTAAAGTCAATGGTAAGGCGATGGCTTTTGTAGGCTTTGCCTTATGTACGGTATAAGGCTTATTATATCCACCCCTCTTTTTTTGTGTGTGTGTGTAAGCCGCGAAGAATGAACTAAATCGGGTTAACAGTTATAATAAGTTTTATTATTTAATAAAGTTTATTACGCCGCTGTGATCCTTTTAGGGAGGCTGTGTCGGTGTCACTATGCCAGTAATCCTGCTGTTAGTGCTGCAGTCCGTGTGGCCTGTCTGTCTGCCTTTCGGGCCTCCCCAGGGCCTTGCAGGCCGTCCCCGGGCCCGAGGCTGCAGGCCCCCCCTTCTGATCCCCAGAGCTCCACGGCTTTACTTCCTCATGCTCCCTGTGGCCTTTGTCCCTCAGTTGTCCTGCAGCTGCATATCTGTCCACTCCTGTCGGCCACACAGTCCCTCCTCAAACATGCACAAGTTGCCTACCTGTCTGACAGCACCACTCAATTCACCAAACTGTCTGCTGAGCTGCTGTCCTTTCCTTTCTCTCATTCTCTGCTCTCCTATTTTGCTTCTCGACTCTTTCTGACCTTCAAGTTCCATCCACAACCCCTCTCTCAGATTGCGGGGAAGTTGCTTGTTTTTTCTCAATCTAACCAAAGAGCATAGGAGCCTTGCAGAGTTTGAGGTGATCGCTGAGGTAGTCACCCTCTCACCTTTCAGCTCTGTGTTCATTTTGGAGAGCCATCCCTTTTCCCTGCCCGCATGGCTCGTGTTATCAGTGCCGGCGAATGAGTCTGTGTTTAATGACTGAGCCCTTATCTGGGTGGAGGAGACTTAGCAGCTAATTGCTGTGATTGCCGAGATCCCCCAGGCGAGGATGACTGCGGCTCGAAGGTGGTTTGGGGGCTGGGGCTGGCGAGCACCACGTGCTCTATCGAGGGCTCTCGGGAGCTGCACTGTCCTTGGGAAGAGGCCAGAGGAAAGAAGTGAGAAGGGGGAGAGGGGAGGGCTCTAGTATCAAAGCAGTCACAGTTTGCGGTCAGGCCGAGTGGGATGTGTGTCACTCCTCTCTTACTGTGACTCTACTGCACGCCACTATGGGCATCTATAGGGGGCAGAAGAGCAGCTAGATTTATGAAGGACTGCAAAATTACATTTTACTTCTTCTTAAGTCTTACCCACACCTTATATATTTCTTCTAGCTTGGTATTATGTACAAAAACAACATGTGCACATTCAGTATCTCAGCCTGCTCTTCATTTTCAGTGAAACATTCCCTGTTTTATGTGATTGAACCTTTCATTGTGTGTCTGGATTTGAGTTGCTGACTTTGTCATTGTGTGTTCAGGTGGCTCATCCTCCAGGATACCCTCTCTTCACCCTGCTAGCTCGCCTGGCTATGTTTTTCCTGCCATCCCTCTCTCCAGCCCACAGCGTCAACCTGATGAGTAGTCTGCTTGGGGCGGCAGCTTGTGGTGCCCTCTGCATTACTGTCTGCAGGTAGGCACGTAAATATATATGATTATACCTTCTTTTTCCACAACATAATAGATGTATTTTTGTTACCTCTCCTGCCATTAATCAGAGGTGGCAAAAGTACACAGATTCTTTACTCGAGTAGACATACAGATACTTGTGTTTAGAACATCAAGTAAGAGTATAAAATTTAAGGCTCTGAAATATACTCAAAGTTAAAACCTCCCCCTTGAAGGCAATTTCTCTTTTAATATAGTTTGAAGACAATTTAAAATTATTTACCACTTTAAAAAAAAAAGAAAGAGAGAAAACAATATGATTAAATCAGGTTAAAGCAAAAAAAGATATATGAGCATTAAAAATTGTCTAGGAGGAAATGTGTGGGATAGGGAATGTTTTGTTGCTCTGCTTCATTGTTAACATTTTTGACATGATTAGGGATATTGGCTCATTCTTCACTTTCTTCCACGTTATTAATCCTTGTCATGGACATACACTTCTTCTCTGAAAGTTGAGTCTATTCAGTTTTGTCTTGATGAGTCTTTTATGCCGTATTACATATGTGGTATGTGAAACGCATTGGTGTAAAACAAGGAATCGCCTTTTTCTGTTAATGTCCCATCGATTGAGATTAATATTTGTCTTGATGTTGGAAAGGCAGCACTTGGTAATTCACAAATAAAAAAAGAATAATTATACTCAAATGCATTAAAACAAAGGAAACGATACGTTATTTTACTTAGTTATTTCCCGCCTCTGCCATTAATGGAATCTGATTTAGGTGAATATATAGGGAGTTAACTAATCCCCGAAATAATATTCAAATTTCACAAATCTAAACCTGCACAGTAACACACACATCAGCCTGCTCAGTAAAAGTCAAATATCTGAGTGAAGTAACAAAGGTTTTTGAGAGGTTTTTTCCCCTTGTGACTTTTTGCATCTTGATGCTGTCTGGGACAGAGAGTGGTATTTTTGGGTCCTGACTTACTGCCAGCACTGCTCCTGATCCGCTGTTCAGTATTCAGGAGCAGGGTCCAGCCGCACTCCTCTCTCCCACCACCCTGCCCTGCCTGTTTACCCATCAGCCACCCGTTGTGAGCGTGCGTGTGTGTGTATGTATATCACAATTACCGTACCCTCCAGCACCCACGCCGACATCCCTGTTCTCCTGCTCCCCCACTGCCCAGCACGCTCCCAATCCTGACACGGCACGATTTCTAATCTCCCCCTTCTTGCCTCCTGGGTCTTAGAGGAACAGGATCACTAGCTCTGCTCCTCCCTATCCCCTCTCTCTTTTACCACCTCTCCCCTCACTCAGTCATGAGCACAGTTTACGCTCTCTGCATTGCCATCTACCACCCTGCAGTTTCGCCTGCTGCTGACCCCATCATGTAAGGAGTATTTTACCCTTTGCCTCTTTGTGTGTGTGTTTATCTCAAATGGTTGGCCAGAGTACCTTACATCATCCTTTTGCTGATCGTAGTGATTTTCCACATTGCATTGTTAGTGGCAGCTTAGTGTCAACATTTTTCCTTTTTGTCAATGTTTATGCATACTGGGACATTTCCAAGCATGTCATATACTTCTAATTTAGTCTCCCAGAATAGGAATTGTTGAATATGATGTAATTTCTGGACCTGTACACCACGATAACCTCGGAGGACCCAGTGATAGTGAAGGGAAAGCAGGTGAAAACGGAGTTTCCCCCGGAGTGTTCCCAGGTGCTCAGTCCTGCATGGGCCTACTTCCTGTGTGCTTGGCCAGTGTGTGCTGGGTGGCAGGTGGTCCAGAGTAGGTCAGGGTACAGGGTCAGCCCTGCTGGAGTAGGGCAGGCGCTGCTGAGGAAGTGCTCCTCAGGGGACTGGCCTTAAGCCCAGACTGCATCAGCCTTGGACCCTGTCCTGCCTCACTGCTCCTCAGAGGTGCATCAAAAAGGCGAGATTCAACTTCTCCGCCCAGAAACGGGACAGGTGAGATGAAAAGAATATGAGAGTACAGAAAGAAAACAAACAACTGTGCCTCTTGAGGGATTTTGTCGATGTAACCCTACTGCCCCCCTGGTCTTAATGCATTTGATGAGTTAGCAGTGAATTGGGGGATTGGACACAGCTCTTGGCCAGACATTTACAGACGGATATTTTGAGGCCAGAAAATATCCATGCAGTCTGGATGATATTTGGCTCCCAGTGTACATGTTAACTGTAGCCCTTTTTGTAATCTCTGAGGATTTAGATCCAATTTTGGATTAAGTTCAAGTAAAAAGTCATTATGAGGACCTCCGACCTGACCCACCCACCCATCCACCACAAGGGTGGATGGGTAGTGAGGACATGAGCCAGACCACAGTCACACCAGTCATATAAGCTCTTAAGTATGAACATATAATCTACGCTTTCAATTTGAAAAATAAGCATAAAAGGTTTTAGTCGTTATCTGTTCAGGACCTAGTTTAGGATGAGCTTGTGGCTGTGGATCAGCTGGCAGACTCTGCCTGGTGAGGGGTTACTGGAGAGGGAAAATTATCAGAGGTGGGGGTAGGGGTTCCGGATGGTCAAGACCTCCCTCTCTGTTCTGGCACAGAGGGCATTGGGTGCTTTGACCATACAGAGAAGACTGGCATAGATGTCGTGCCACAGCCCTGCAGGGACTCCCTGGCCAGGCCTCTCCCTCAGATGAAATGCCAAACCTGACCAGTCCACACCCGTCCATACCTGCTCTGCCCTTGCAGTGACACCAGTTCACTCTGTCTTTCCCCAACAAACTTAAATCCTGAAATGTCTTTTGTGCTTTTTGTCCCTGTGAGACCCTCATAAACTTTTCCCCAGTTTTTATTTTTGGGTTTGTATCAGCTGAGGAGTAGAACCCCCCCACCCACCCAGCACCCCCAAACAAATCATTGCTTTGTGTGATTATTTTCAGATGGCAAAATGTAGTGAAGTTAATTCGGGTACTTGAAGGCAGTTTCTCTCAAATAGTAAATTGTAGACCTTGAAATTCATCTGGAGTACACCCAACATGGCAACCCTTTGATGTATCAATTTAAATTAGTCGGCCAGATTGCCGTGTTTAATGTGGGGGAATGTAAGTTGATAGGCTTGGAAGCCACTTCTCTCTCTTGCGCAAGTTAAAATGTAGCACTTAGCCTCCCTTTGATTTGTCAATTACAGTTCTCTTGGCTTGATCATATGGTTTGATGGCCAAATTGCATGTCTTGTTATGTTTTCACACCATGGCCTGACAAGCCTTTGAGGATGGTGGACGTAATGATAATTTCTATCGATTGCACTCGCTAGTTCACAGAAAGACACATTTGGCCTGTGGAATGCTGAAGGCCTCAGCCAAGAGTCTCTAGAGGAATGCACCCTTCATAGAGGGATAATCCAGACAGCTTGGTATTCTGCACTCTCTCTCCTTTCACAGTTTATCTGTTAAAGCTGCTCTGAATCTCTGCTACCTGAGAGGAATCTCTCTCCATTCCTGGGCTTATCCTGAGAAACCAGGAGCAGACATGTTAGCGGGCTGACAGTCATCAGAGCAGAAAAACAACCTTGCGACGCTCAGTCATCAGCACTTTTTTCCATTTGATCACATGATTACATAACAGTTTGTTGAGCACATCAAATGTGTCGGGCCCTTTCTGTCTCCTGGCGGCCTTCGGAAGAAAATGCACACCTGCGAGAGACTCTTCGCTGGCCCATGTGGCACAGCTGATACCTCAGCGGACCGGAGGGTGGGCGTGGTGCCATCCCCCTGCCTTGTGCTGCGTCCCCATCTCCTTATAAGGACCTCCACCATATGGTCCTGATGGCGCTTTCCATCCTCACTCAGGTGGGTTGTTTTTTCCACAGGGGTTGAGTTGCCTGTATCTATTTGGGGTCATGTCAGGAGCGATGCGTAAGGAGGTGCTATATTTCTGCAACCATTTGCATAGTGTTAGACATCTTGATTGCAAGTTGTGTCTTGGAAACAGCTGAAAAGAGTTGTTTTTGTTGGACAATATTCTCACCTCTCCCAGTAGGCAGCAAGATGGCCCCTCCCTCTCACATCTGCTATGGTTGGATCAAAATCTTTTCCCCAAGTGGCAACAGAGAAAATACCCATTCCAGTTTTCTTCTGTAAATACAGAGGACAATTTTAGGTTTGTCTGTTTAAAAAGGCCCAATCTCTGGACCTTTTGTTACATTTTTGCCATATCTCATTGTTCACATTGTAGTCCAACAGACCTCCTTCACTCCCCCCCATCCTCAGCATGACCAATGGTTCCCCCAGGACTCATCCTCTAATACAGTTAAACAGATGTTTAATGAAGATGTTATTTCCTCATTACTGGCTACGGGATAGGGATAGAGAGGGAGGGAGGAGAGCTAGATAGACAGCAGAATACACTACCAGTTTAATATTCCTTTCGCCCCTGGGCCCGAGATTGTGTCTGCCTCGGACGTCAATATTACATTCCTCACCCACCACAGGCAGTCTTAATAAGGCACCAGGCACGGAGACGGATCAGACTCGGCAATTACAATTCACCCAGAATTAGTTAATGGAATCTATACAGCAACATTTATGTATCAGTGGTGTGTGCCTAATGAATTTGTTGGGAAAAGGAGCAATAAAAATGGCATTCAGTGAATTGCATAAACACAGGATTTTTGTAAATTGTTTTTTTTCCCCTCTTCCTGTAATTTTTGTGTGTTGGGTGGAGATTAAGATGGCATTCTGGGAGAAATTGTCATGTCAGTGGCTGCATTGTTTGAGCAAAATTGTGGTGATTAATTTTACACGCACTGAGCACTGGAGCGCTCTCCTGGAGGAGGGGTGTCGAAGCGGCAGAATCGGGTCTCTTATTTACCCTCTGTGCAGGCAGGCAGCCTCTTCGACACACACCGGATGAGGCAGGAAGGAGGAGGAGTGCCTGGTGTGGTGATTGGCTGGAAATCAGGCTCTGGCAACCAGTATTCAAACACTCTGTTTTTAAAGTCATTTAGAAAAAAGGATTAAGGCTGGGAAACACTGCAAAAATAAGACATTTTTATCTTACTTGATGATATTCCTTATTTTGGAAGGTAATTTTATGAATCAAGAAATGATTTTTAGGAATGAAAATGATTAGTGACAAAACAAGCAGACATTCACTGTGTATTTCAGAACAGCTGTGAATGTTCAGAATGTGATTTACCAACGATATCAGTGTCATATCCGTATTGTGGCTGGGTAATATAACAGAAATTAATATTATAGAAAGTCTAGTGTGTTAGGGATAACCCTACTGTTTTGCTTGTTACACATGTAAAATAAAAGCCACAATAATATAATTTTGTTGATCTTTAATTACAATTAGCTTAAAATAATTAGGGGACATTCCAGTAATTTAAAATATAATTTTGATAAAGGTAGGGGACTATGAAGGTATTAATTAAAAAATATTAGACACAATCAAAGCCTCTAGGTCATGGTATCCTGGTTTTAGCCTCAAGTACATTGAATCCAACTTTTACCACAATACAACTCTGGTTTTCTGCTAAAATGTGTCGTCTGCAAACCCAAACTCCAGATGATGGAGACACGAGTCACTTTTCCAAATTTGGAAAGTTTTCCCTTCTCACACTCTTAATAGTTTCACAAACAAGCTGAGCTTGGTGTGTAGAATTCATCATATGCCTCTTCAAAACAACAGAACTCTGTCAAAGTAAACCCTGATATGATGATATTGTTATGACAATGAAAGACAATCATACCGAAATGTTGCTCAGCCCTTATCTGTGCACTGACTAGCTTTAGAACACTTTATAGTATTTCACTGGCATGTTTGATTTCAGTCTCCTCTTACCCCTGTCATATAATAGCTACTAAGTACCCTGCCTGTCATCCTGGCCAAAGGAGGGCCCTGGGGTGTTGGTGGAGGCCAGCTGGAAACCTAAGCCTTCGCCCGAGCAGGCCACCTCCTCTCTCGGGCTCTCTACCCTCTTCAGGAATGTGTGATTCTTTTCCAGCAATGCTTCCCCCAAACCACCGCTCGGTTCGAGAACAGTGCGGCGCTGATCCGCGATGGCACAGCTGTGGTATTGTCTGCTCCCCGGGGTGGTGTGTGACAGTGGTTCCCTTGGCCAGCTCCATTGTGGAGCCTCATTCAGTTCAGAGTGCTGGTGTAGGCCTTTTTTTGTGTGCTGTTATTTAGCACAGACGCCTGGTGCTGGCACGTCTCAGGCCCGTACTGTAGAACTGAGGGGGTATATGAGGCAGGTCCCTTTTTGACACTTGAGCGATTATACACAGCTTTTGTTGTGTTGTGTCCTTGAAGGGGACATTGTTCACCAGAGCCTGTTGTATCTTTGTCATTCATTATTTTTGTTTACCTTTTGATCTTTCCCTTTAAACCTGCCTTTCTCATTTCTACTATTTCATCATTTTCATTCTGTATGTGTAACTTTCAGCCGAATTATTACTGATTTTCTTTTGTAACCACTTACATTACTTCCAAGCTTGTGCCTTATTCCACATTTAATGCATTATATTTGTCATTTAGTTAATTACCCAAGTGATGACACAGACGTTTTGGCAGCGTGGATCAGTTCAGGGTAGAATAGTCTCGCTGTCAGCTGTGTTATTCTCCTGCCATGTCTCAACCAGGCCATTGTCATTGAGCCACAACATTTCAGCACAGCGGCATCCTGCACCGCATTGAGTTGTGATAACGGGGAACACGGCTTCACTGGTGTCAGAATGTATCCAGCTTTATCTGTGCGCCCTGGGAGCAGCCCAGCCTGGAGAATGAGCTGTGCAGAGATGGCTGAGAGGCTGACGGGGACTCAGGTGGTCCGACGCAGACAGACAGGTCATTTACAGGCTGCGCTGTACACACACCACTGGGCTCTTACGGACTGACAAGCTCTAACAGAGAGATTTGTCAGGCACTCAGGGAGAATAAAGAAGTCGAGGAGCAGGAGTGTGTGTGTCTGAATATGTGATGAGTGCTGCCTGGCTATCAGATGGGGCTTTCAGAGGCAGGAGGAACAGACTTGGTGTAATAACCCAACTGTGGACCCCCACGACTGCTCTGAACCCCGTGCTACCCCAAAAACCAGGCCCCCTGCTAGGTGCATGAGCCACGGGTTAATTGTCATGCAGGGAGGTAAAATTATGGGTGCGGAGGGTCCCTGCACCTCAACAAAAGTCCCCATCTGCCCCCCTCCCCACTCCACACCCGTCTTCATCCTTCCTTCAAGTTACAACTAATTCCTGGAGCGGTGCAGTGAGAAAGGCGCTGCTATCTCTTATTAAGACCCACTCCTAGACTCCCCATCAACACAGTTCACCCCCCCCTTTCATTACTGTGCTTATTAATGCCCCCCCCCCTTAAGTGCGTGCACACACACACTCATCTGCCAAGCTTGCCTTATAGTGAACACAGAGGAAAAATAGTGGCGAGTGCAGAGAGAAAACCCAAGAAAAAAGGGGAAGTAGTCAGCAAGCAAGAGTTTTTTTCCCCTACCCTTCTCTCGCTCTCCCTCTCCTTTTTTTCCTGATTTACCGCGCTTTCCTCAGAAAGCTCCATTGTTCCCCTAGCCTAAGTCTCATCAGGCCTTTTGTGGCTGACTATCACAGCGGCAGGCAGAGAGCTGGAAATGTATAAATGGTATCATGCCTTGTGATTAATGGCGGTGCTTATGAGTCAGGTCTGATAACGGGCCTGCTCTCTACTCAATTTCAGATACCGTTAATGGAATCTGTCTTCTGCGATTGTAATGTGAGAGCGCCTAATTTGCTATGGAGCTTGAAGCTGTCACCGGCAAGGGATTGTGGGGTCATAAGGGACCTGGCAGCCGTTTGGCCTGCAGCTTGTATCTGCGGTGCTGAATAGAGCAGCTCTCTGCCTGTCAGTTAGCTGATAGGCTGATGAGGACTCTAAGCCACTCCACACAATGGCGGAAAGGGCCATACTGCCTGACTTCCCTAATTGTCGAGGCTGCTCATATTTCAGAGCCAGCATGCCGGGGACTGGGCTGACTTTTTTTTTCTCTTTTCTCTTTTTTACCCTCTCTCTTCTTGAACTTTTTTCTTCCTTTTTTCTATATTTCATCCTTCATCCCGCACACTGCCTCACCCCTTTAACACACACTCTGCACTGTTTTGCTTTTCTTCCCCTTCTCGCCATCATTTGTCGCCCCTCTCTCTCTCTCTCTCCCACTCTGTCTCTGATTTTAGTAAGTGGTGGGTCTTAGCGTATGACAGATTATCCCAAGTTTGCTTCAATTACCGCAAAGGAGATGGAGACAGTACAGGAGAGGAGAAAGGGGAAAAACTTTTGTGCACACATTATATTTAAGAAGCTGAGGATAAAGTGCTATCTCGACCACGGTGGTTTCGGTGCCAGTCTGCTCCAGATCAACTGGCTGCAGGGGAGGGAGTTCTCTCTCATCATATGTGAATTGCCCCAAATCACTGAGAATGTTTTTCAAGGGCTTGTCCGAGAAGCAAACTTGGGTCATAGAGAGATTATAATGGCTCCCCAAATTGGTGTAAGGAAGTGGTGACTTTTAGACTGTAGAATTTTATAAAACTTGAATATTAAATACAGAAATCCTTTCAAACAAATAGATGCCCAGGCTTGGTAGATTTTGATATTTTAGTTTAGATAACTTTCTGATGGTTGCTGCAACCCTATTGTAAAACATTTATGAAGGTAAAAGATAAAATAGCTGCGGAGCCATTTATTTCCTGGATATCTGTCTTTCTGAAGTCATGTATAATATTGTAGGTCTCCTCTCTGTCACTGTCAGGTTGGCTGGTCCTGGCCCTGGAGCAGTGCTGACTGGAGGCCTGTTTGCAGTGTCCAGGCTGAGCTGGCAGTGGTCCATGGTGGCAGAGGTCTTCACCCTCAACAACCTTTTTGTTGGTCTGCTCTTCTTCTCCATCGCCAGCTTCCACTGTGCTCAAGACACCAAGAAAAGGTCGAAGGTAACATAAACACAAAACAACTCTAGACTGGAGAACTGTCTTTCTATTGAACTCGCTGTGCTGTACTGACCTGCTTGCCCTCATCAGATTGCACATTGGGGGGCGCTATGCTGTGGCTTGGGGCTCTGTAACCAACACACCCTGGTGCTGTATATACTGGTCATCATTCCCTGGGTCTTTCTCAGACTCTACTCTCATCAGGTGAGTCCTGCGGCCTCATGAATAGAACCACACACACATTTTAAATCCCAAGACAAATTTTAATGAGTGGCTGTGGATCAGCAGGAGTGGGTTGTCCGGTAGACTGTCGGTACTTCTTATCCTGGCTCCTCCAGTTCTCACCCAAAATGTCCTTGACAGTGTGTAAATAGTGTGATAGAAGAAAAAGTGCTGTGTATAGAAGCATTGTATGAATGTGACTATTACTCTGAAGCGCTTTGAGTGGTTGATAAGACTAGAAGAGCACGATTTAAATACAGCCCATTCACAAGAAAAGTAATTTCTCAATTGTATTAAATGAACATTTATAGATCATACATTTGTTTTAACTCTATACAGAGGTAAAAAATATGTGGAAAATGTTTTATCCAAGAAGTAAGAGCCTGGGAACAAGTGGATCCTTAATATCGATACATTAATCGGAAAAAAGTCCAGAAGTTTCTTTGTTTATCTTTGTGGGCTCAAAGAATCAAAAAATTTTTTTTAAAGTTGTTAGAGAAGGTCCCCAATGAACTGACATAAATGTAATGTTAGATTTAGTTTTTCAGAACCAGTTGAGACGTGATATTAACATCAGTCTGAAAATCCGATCATTCAGACTCATTCAGAGGAGGTCAGGGACGCATGTGGCCACATTCTGTGAACACAAATGTGTCCTGGGCCACATGAAGGACATTATACTGAGCTGATGACCTCTGACCTGCTACACTTTCATATTGAATCACATGTGTTTTTATGCCTCTCAGTGATTATATGGTTTGTTTGTGGCTGTGGAGTTGATTTCCATTAGTGTCTCCTGTCTTGCTATCTTTACATCTACAGTGTAGGTATATCCCATATTTTATATTAAATACCAAGATTGTTTATGTAACAACAATAAATCTAAATGTTTTACATCTGTTCATATCAACAACTTAAACAACATGCGTCTCATGTGATGTTCACAGGAGCTGTCATTACGTGTCGTTGTATCTCTGGGAGTGTGTTTCCTCGCTGGCTTTCTGCCGTACATCTACCTGCCCGTCTCCTCCTACCTCAACACAGCCCGCTGGAGCTGGGGCGATCAGACTAGTCTGTCAGGCCTGCTGACCCACTTACTGAGGGCTGAATACGGCACCTTCAGCCTGGTACATGCTGCTTACCCACCTGCCTTATCCACCTTGCACTGTATGTGCTCCTTTTTATTTTACATTTGACGTTTTTTCCTTTTTTGTAGGCAAAGACTGAGAGCTCTGTGAACATCACCACTATGCTACAGTAAGTTTATATTTTCCTTGTTTACACGTTTGAATCATTAAAAACAACAGATTTTCTTGTGTTTACTAGGTTCATATTGCACATTCCCTTATTGATTGGCATTACCATAGACTGTGTATAAAGATGGACGACAGGAGTGCTCCCCAAAAGTGAATGGTTACAGCATGTTAGTGGATGGGACATGGACCAAACTAAAATGTCAAAAAAACATGTCAAATACATTTTTCACAAAGATAGTTTCTGTTATTTTAGGTTGTTCTTATCGAACTGTTATTTGTTTCCTGTTTTAATCAGTTATTTGATTTCAAATGGAGTGAAATATCATGATTGACAGGTGACACTGACTCATGATTGGTGGAGCATGTGTTTTTATGTGACCTTGCTGCCACTGCTCCTTCTCCTAATCGCTACTGCACAGACCCTGGGCATAAGATGGCAGCGTTCATATCTGAGATACAGCTCAAGATCAAGATTTAGCTTAATTTTTGGATAGGAAATGGAAACGTGTCGTCCAATTATATACACAGTCTATGGTCATGACATCTATGTTTTCTGCATGTGCAGCGTAGACAGTTTTATTATTGATTTATTATTGCTTGTTCCTTCTGTTCAACAGTTCTGTGTGTCTTCTTGTCTTTGGTGATTTGTTTTTACTTAAAAAGATTCTATAGATTCTAAGATAGAGTTGGAAAGAGACATTAGAGGAAACTGGGTGTATTTGATCTTGGCCCATAGAGGGCGCACATGGTTCTAGAAGTGGACTTCCCAACCACACTCTGCACCGGTTCTGGTGTTTCACGCAGATTTAACCACAATCACATCAGTCTCTTTAGAGAGCCCAGTCATTTCTGCTGCCCATCTTTTTCTCTCTCCATCTCTCCCTCTTTTTCCCTCTCTCCTTCTCTCTCTCTCCCCAGCAGCTTTTGTTCTTCCCATTCAACTCTCTCTCTCCCATCAAAGCAGAACTGAACCTGCTTAGAGGGCCAAATCGCTGTGTTCTGTTTCTCCAGCAGTTTGAAATGATCACTCAGCTCTGGTCTTTAAGCGTGACAAGCTGTGATGACAGACACTGCAATAGAGCTGGAGAAATTGTATTTTTCCACTCCAGCAACCCCCCCCACTCCCTCCCTCCCCCAAAACCTCCTCCATCCGATTCCCTCCCCTGCTCCCCACTTCCACCACCACTACTGCACTCATCCCACTCCTGGTGTCTTCCTCCAGTTGACGGGATAGGGGTGCGTGCGCTTCTTAAGACCCCCCACCACTGGCCCCCCCTCCGCCAGACGCCCACCCCCTTCTCGTCACCCCTGCTGCTTGATGGACATGCACACCTTCAAGATGGGGAAGAGAGGGGAACATGACAGGCATATCGCACTGGCGACGTAAACCCGCTGAAGAAGCTGACACACACACTCACAAACACACGCCCATGAGCACACTCACACATAGTGTACATCGGGAGATACAGAGACTCAATAAGCTGTCAAATAGAGATGGGTATTAAGGAAGAGGCAGGAAACTATCCCCCTGCTCTGAGCAAGTGCTCTGTGACTGACAGGCGCTGTGACAAGAGGATGGGGCAGTGGGGGGTGGATGACACAGTCATTCGTATCTGTCAATCCGATTGAAAGGAGGAACATACAGTCCAAGGAGTTTGTTTTGATAGGGGATGGAGGGCATTGAATAATTTGTGTCCTTGACTCCAGTAGCAGGGAGGGTAATTGAGCTTGTCTTCGGCGTCCATCATGTGTGTGTTTGTGGGTATGTGTGTGTAGGGCCCAGATGGACCACTGCCTTGCAGACCTCTCCATTCCCGTTTTGGTGCTGGCAGGAACAGGCCTTCTCCTCTCCATGCAGGACAGGTAGGATGAGCGAGACGCCCGGCATGCAAAACACCAAACTCTGTCACACATCTCAGCAGCCACTTCAACCAAAAAATATAATCCCCTGGAGTAAAAGGAGGGAACAAAACCACTGACAAAATGCTGATCTTAGAGAAAAAGAATACAAAACAACACCGAGGCACCTAACTGTCAAGCTGTCGTGACGCTCCACATTCACATCAAGAAGGGGGTGATGTGTGTTTTGGATTTTTAAAAACATGTTCGTGTGTATAAGTAAATTGCTGCTTGTATGTATTTGCATGTGGCAGAGTGATCCTGTTATTTATTACAGTACTTACTGGGGTCTATTGGGTGGAGCTGATAAAGACTGGTACCCTGTAGGGCACGGACCACCTCCCTGATCCCCCTCTCCTGGGGCGCACTTTGATAATCTTGGCTGCATTCAAAGAGATGAAAAAGAGAGAGGTCATTTTATAGGACACCAAAAGTAAAACATGCACATGCAAGTTTACCACTGGATTGTTGAGTGGAACTGCTCTGGGACATTTTATTACTCAAATATTTTATTTTTTAACATGTACGTAATGTAATTTGAATTAAAAAATAGAAACTTTCATATTGTATGTCAGTGACCAGCCAGTTAGAACAAAAATCCAATCAGTCTCTTGGCATTCTGCTTTGACAATGTTCTTCAGGTTCAGAGGCTGGTTAGTTATTGCCACAAGAGTAACTACATGTTTATTTTGTGTTTAAGTACATTGCTTTACTGTAATGACCTTGTGACTCAGCAGTTGGCACCACCTCATTTTGACTCAGTCTGCATTTTTAGTTGTCTGGTGTAAACATTTGCTGCTTGGCTCACAACATTTTCAAGCCTATATTCAAAACAGGTGTATTTTTTACAGGATATACACAAAGTAATACTTTAGATTGTGTATATTGAAATGTAAAGAGTATATTCAAGGATATCCACAAAGTGATAATAAAAGCAAGAATAGTATTTGTACACTAAATAATTTGTGGTTTTGTGTTTTCCTGTCCTAGGACGTGTCGCTCAGTGTCCTGGCTGTTTGCTGCCATGTTGGTGGTCTACTCACTGTTTTTTGCTTGGAGAGCAAACCTGGACATCAGGAGACCCCTGCTGCTCGGAGTGGTGAGTGGTGAGACTCATTCAACTAAACTGTTTGCTATTGATTTCATCTGCAGTGGGCTAAAAGTTAACATTGTTAACATTACAGTTGATATTTCTATATATGTGTAATATCTGTATAGGGCACAGATGGAAGGTACTTATCCTGAAACACCGTCGTGCTGAGTCATACCTCAGCCGATCCTAGTCTGGACTAACTGTGCATTCAAGTGCTCCTTGTAAGGTGTAATTTCCAGAATCGTGAAGTCATGTTCCAACGTGTTCTTGTGTTTAAAGTAGAAATGTGGAAAAAACATGGACACTGTAAACAAAATGTGTTTTATTTATGTGTTTAGAGAATTTAAACAACACCATGAAACATCTGTCCAATATAATAATAATGAAGATTAAAGAAAAAGGCTTAGGTGTGACAAGCTTTACAGAAGTGTAACATTTGAGGAGTTCACATTATAAGCTAAACTGTTTAGAGCTGATTGTAAAATTATGTTAATTAATTCTGATGATTATGATGATGTCAACAACTTGGCAACTCGTGCATCAAAATTTTGCCAGATTTACCAAGTTGATCCAACTTTAGGTTGATGTGAATTTTTCCTGCCAAGAACTCATTTTTCAGATTACTCCAACACCATGTGAATGCACCGTGAGAATCAAACTTCAGGAAATACTGGTGTGAGTGTTTGTGTGTTTGTCTGTACACGTGTGTGTGCTCACTTCCTGCAGGTTGAGCGTTTCTGGCTGCAGAGTGATGCCGCAGTGTGTGTGCTGGCAGGCCTCGGCTTGAGGCAGACTCTCACCGAGCTGGAGAGGAGGCTGGGCCTTGGGCGGGTGTGGAAGACCACAGGCTGGGTCCTCACCGTGGCTCTGCTGGGACAAATGCTGCACAACAATCACAGGTGAGCGCTGCAGCTAGTTGTAGTAACAAACTGTGAGATGTAATCAAAACTTACAATGCTGTCCATACATATTAGAACGATAAAGTGTGCTTTTTGTTGTTCATCTAAACAAATGGAATCAAATGAAACAGTGAGGATTAAATTTAAGTTGCATTTTAAGATTTGTGTTGGTGTTGATGTGGGAGGGAAATTACTTATTCAAAATAAAGCTAAGAATCATCTTTTAAAATTTCCCATTTTCATTTTATATTTCAAATCCAATGGTCTGAAGTGTAGAGCGAAAAAAACAACAGCCCAGATATTTACAGTTCCATTGCTACTGTTGAGAGGTGAGTTAGCTTTATAAACTACACTATATACACTTTGTGGACAATTGATGTTTGTGATCACAAGAGCTTAATGTTTAATAAATACCCGATCCTATCAGTTAAGCATTTCTTCAGCAACTATTTAGTTGTATTGTTCTACTACAGTTTTGCCGTTGCTAGAACACTGGAGCCAAATGTGTCTTAAGCAACTTTTTAAGTACTTTTGTGTAGTAAAGTTAAAGTGAAATAGAAAAAAATCCCCCCTCTCATTCCAGTACCTTCTAAAATTCTCCTGCATAAGTTTTCCCTGAGTCAACCCGATTTGTTTCTTTGTGCTTCGTACTGAAGGCCTGAACTCCTCATGTCAGGTTTTTCCTTGCTCACCCCATGGTAAGGGCTAAAGAGCGGCACGGTTAGCACATAGATTCCTCTCACAGAGCTCAGTCTGAGATGTTAGCTGTCCGAGGAGGCAGATTACACCAGCGTACTGCCGGGGAGTGCCAGACAGCCATCACTGAGCGGCTTTGATCAAGGGGGAGAGCATGGCCTGTGCTGTCAGAGCCATCACACCTGTCTCCCTGTGATTAGATAGGCAGCCAGAGCCCGCTGCAGAAGGGAAGGGGCGGGGGCACTGACAACTTACCCTCAGAGCACCTTAAAAGCCTACCTACACTCACATACACATACACACGACTGTACACATCACACACATTTCTAAGCGGGGGTGAGGCTGCACTCAACACCCTTTTAAACGCAAGTAAACACAACTTATGTTTTGATGGTATTATACTATGTGTTTGCTGTTGATTTTAGGGAGTGTGATCAGAGCATGAACAGTGTGGTGGAGAGGTTCGGCAGGGAGCTTTTGGGCTCTGTACCAAAAGACTCGATCATCCTGACGAGAGGAGATCTGCCTGGAAACTCCCTGCGCTACTTATACTACTGCCAGGGTGTACGGCCTGATGTCCGACTGGTTGACCAGGAGGTCAGAGCTTTGTCTTGTCTGTGTATTATAAATCAAAGTTTTTATATTTCACACAGATTGAAATAGTGTCTCATTACGAGCACATTAATTTCAGAAGTCAAGATCAAATAGTATCAATAACTTGTAAGAAATATTAAGATTTAGAAATTGTAGATTTCTTAATTTTACAAAAAGATAATTAAGAATGTGGTTGAAAAAGAAAACAACGAATTCTATTTTTGGGCAAAATGTTATTGTACCTGTTGTGATAATGGACTGAATATCACATAGATTAATAAATTACAGCCTGATGTTTCAAGGACAGAAATGTCTTGTAGACTTTCTAATTTGGTACATAAGTTTATATCTTTATGTCAACATTGCAATCCTGCTGGCATGAGGGCCTTTCAAAAATAAAAATAAGGGGTGAAACAGGACCCTCCATCTTTAGAGTTAATTAAGGCAAGTCAAACCTCTTTGATAGCCTCATGTATAAAGGTTCAGAGTCAGTTAATTGTGGAGGCAAATCCGTACCCCAAAGATCCAAACAAGATTATTGTTAGAAAGACACAGAAGAGTGGACACATAACAGGACACATTAGGTGAGAGTAAAAGCCACTGAACAAGTCAGTCAATCCTTTTCTTTATGTTAGTCTAATCACAGTGATTTGAACAGAGTTGGGTGGTACCCTTTTCTTCTTTTATAGATGATGACATACGCTTGGTATGTGGCCAAGCTAGGGCAGCACCACCCAGGGATCCACTTCCCCGGCCGCTGGTGGGACCCGGTGCACCCTGAGGAGAAAGACACCTTCAATCTGGAACAGTTTCTGTCCCACAACACGCAGTGAGTCACTGGAGGGAGCAGAGAGGAAGTAAAGGGATGGTCTGAACAGATAAAAAGAAGGATGTTAAATTGAGAGAGAGACTGAATCGGGAGGGCAACAATGGTCCAGATGAACAAGTGGGTGATCTAACGAGGCAGAGATCAGTGGGACGGTCGACACGGCGGTGAGTGCAGGGAGAAGATAAGCCCGTAGAACTATTGAGGCCATAAAAGGAGTTTGATGAACTACAGAAGTCGACTAATCTACTTGATTTGCTTAAACAGTCTCTGGTGGACTAACTGCTGCTCCCTGCTCTAACATTCACTCCTCTAGGAGACAGTGAGTCTTCGGCACTGGCAGGAGACATGTTAATACCAAGCCCACCAGGGGGCAGTGTTTGCCAGGCCAACATGTCTGTCTCTCACTGGGGCAACACTGACCTGTGGGATTAACCCTCAGGGCTTGAGGCTTTCTTTAACAGCACAAGGCTTGAGGGACGTTACAAGGGTTAAGGACGGAAGGAAATGTTTGTTTACATGTTGTTTCTGTGTCCCATCATCAACAGTCACCTGGAGGTAACTGAGGATGTGAACATTCCTCCATCTGATTATTTGTTTCTGTATCTTTTTTTTTTCTGCAGGAGGGATGTTTTCGCCTGCATTGGGCTGCCCGATGGAGACCCGAGCTGGGAAAGTAGCTTCACTCGCTGGCCCATGGGTGTGTGTGAATATTTGGTGCCAATTCAGAGGCAGTTTGACCCTGAAGAGTGGGTTCAACACACGAGCAACGTCTACAACTGGAGCGAGCCACACAACAGGTGCAAACACAGACAAAAACAATGAATGAGTCTGAACAGGTTTGTTTTTAATCCTGTTAATGGTTTCCTCTTTTTCTCCTTTGTCATAGCGTCATGGTTAAAAAAAACATAATCTTAATCCACATTGTCTGACAGTTATACAGCAACTCAAGTTATGTTATGTTTAATCTATCAAATGAAAAACGTATCGATGTGTTGAGCATCATTTTTATACTTATTTTCCCAAAGTTCACTCTGACGTATTTTACATATTTTATATCCTTTAATCCTGAGACCTTCAATACAATTTGAGATAAAGTTCAGTGTGTTTCTCTGGCTCCACAGCATGAGTTTGCAAAGACTATTGCACTGGTGAGTTGTTGAGGTTTAAAGGGGTGAGATTAGCAGGATGTAAATTTTGGAGGCCTACTGTTGGCTAAGAAAATAAACAAATCCTTTGGCACGTTTAAAACAAGCCATGATCTTTACAAAAAAATAGATTCATTGAGAGAGCACAATAGACCCCTTCAAATTAGTCATCGCCATGTGTTTTATCACCGACAGCAGAAAAGATCTACTTACCCCCTCATCTCTCTGTGGTCTTCAGTTATCCTTCCTCAGACTCCACAAAGCTTCCCTCAGCGTCGTTGTCCTCCTCTGTTCTCCATGCTGTGATCCAGCTCTTTGTGAATTCAACCAGTGCAAGACATTAGGCCCTCGGCCATTTGAAATGAGACGGAAGATGAAAAATAATGACTTTCTTATTGCGTTTTGTCAATAACTGTGTCAAAAGTGGAATTAGTCAAAGCTCCATATTCTGTTGCCGTTGCCAGCAGCCCTTCATTCACTCAGATATCCGCAGCTGAATACTGTGACATTATTTCCCGCACCCTCACGACAAGCGTGTCCACCGATGCCCACGAGCCAAATATTAGCTCGGGAACCTTGCTAAAATATTCTTTTGAAGAAGAGGTCAAGTGTTTACAGTCAACAAAGTGAAAAGAGGGAAGATGTGGTTTTACTCCATGTCTAATGTGCTAGCTGGTATTGTTGCTCAGCAAACATTGATGTTTAGTGAATCAGAACCTGCACAGTTGAGTGGAACAATATATTCACATAAATAATCATTTATAGTTAGTGGAACTGTGCACTAGCGAACGCCTGAAGCTTTTTAGATAAAATGTTTTTTTCTTCATGTGTGAACAGTTTCCATCCAGCATCCTGGGAGCGTGTCGCTAATGAGGAGATGTGGCAAGCCAGGTACGTTAAACTTTTCTAAAGCATATAAAGGTTTGCTCTTTGGAGAGGTTGTGTACTTCAACGTGCAGAGAGAATGCTGTGTCACGATGCATACCAGCCCACCAGAACATCTCCATAAACCAGTCTTGTGTGGTAGAGCATCTACATCTACATGTACATTCTATTTGGTGGCAGCATCTACATAAATCACTCCATTGGAGTGGTGCGTCTGAAAGTGTGGATCTGCATGGCTCATCCATCCAGCACTTAGCCCTGAGCCTGCGTGCTTTGTTTCAGGATGAAGACGGCTTTCTTTCTGTTTGACCTGGCAGAAAGAATGCAGGGAGAGGGGAGAGCTCGCCTCTTTGAGCTGTCTTACACTGTGAGTGTGACCTCAACAAACATGCAACAATGCCGATATTTATCATAAAGGTGCAGGTTTAAGTGCCATGTGAGGTAAAGAGTGACATATTCGTTGGCTTTACTTTCGGTAACTCCTGTATTTATGCGTATGTCTGCGTGTGTGTTTTCTGGACAGCTGTATAAGGAGATTGTGGAGGCCCACTCACACTACCCTCCAAACTGGGACAAGAACTTGGCACTGGCCTGTGAGAGGTTGCTCCGCTCGGGTCACCGCGGCTACACTCCAGACAGCCTGCTGACCTGCAGTACACAGCACTTCAGGCTCTACTTGGAGAAGGAACCCACAGATCCCCAGGCTCCCGCCATACGCTCGGCCATTACTCACCTGCTCAGAGAGAGAGACGGCCTCGGCCAGAGCCGGAGGCAAACCCAATGATGAGATCCAGGGAGACCTACGTGGAGCTGTCACACTGAGGGTGTGCTGTGAGCCCAGGCAAAGTGTGAGGGAATGGGGATGAAGTCTGGACCAATGTGCCTCTTGTGATGGTTATAAGATGGATAGACTGATGGAGAGGCGTGGACTTGGACAAACTGGACTAACAAGTACTGATCTCCTGTTTTCTAGTTTGTTGTAGAACAGAAGGATGGAGTGAAAAGGACTGAACCATGGTTCATTTGATGACTGTTTAACAGTTGACTCGGGACAAAGCTTGACTTCAGGAAGCCTCGACTGACCCCAATCAAGCTGTGCGTGCTCCCCCTAAACTCACCATTCGATTGCTTTATCGTTACATCTCGTTCTTTTTTTTTTCCCTCTCCTCTCTTCTGGTGATTATTTAGCCTCAGCTGCTGCTCTACTTCTCTTTTTCCACATTAGGATGGCGAGGCCAAGATTGAGGGAAACCCAATTTGGGGGCAGAAATGGGGGATTAGAGCCGTTGTTTAATCTCGGACAGACTTGTGCTATGCCACAGAGTCCTCACTACACACTAACAACACGACCCACCCGCCTGCTTGCCCACCCTTCAATTCAATCCATCAGTTTATCTTAGATGGTCCTTGAAATGTTTTATAACTAATGGATTCTATGAGTGTTTTTTTTCTCTCTCTCTTCCTTCCTAACCAGAGGGCTATAATCCCCCATGGATTTAAATGAAATGTGAAATGTCACAATGCCAGGGACCCTTTTAGAGGTGTGTGTGTGTTTGTGTGTGCGCTCATGTTTGCATGTGTGTTGATCTGTGTTTTCATGTCTACATGTATGCGTGTGTGAACATGCTTAAATCTCCACCCGAGCCCTTTTCCTGCCAGAACTGAATATAAACGTAGTCGATAAACAGATTGGGACACTGAAAAGCAAAGTGCTTTGATCATCATGCATAGGAGAACCAAATCAGGCACACTCCAGGGACACATGTAGAAACGCACGACTGTCAGCTCTCAGAAAAATGGACTCTTTGCTCTGTGTTTACTTGTAAGACAGTGATCACGCAAACTCAGCGAACGGACCAGAATCGCTTGTCTTTGACGTGCAGTCATGATCACAAACCTTACGTTCAGGTGAATACTGGTGCTGATGCTAATAAGCCTTGTGGCGTGAAATGTGTCAAGCAGAGGTCAGCCCGGTGCGTTGCTGTAAGCTGTATAAAACACTGCTGAAGGAGCCTGCTGTCTGAGATACCACTAGAAAGCAAAGGACAGCAAGTGCATGTGTAGTTTTCTCAGAATGTAATCTGGCCTTTCTGTTTGCAGGCCTGGTTAGCAGCTGTCAGCTGGCTGGATGATGAGATTCAACCTGCTGCAGCACAGATGGTTTGGTTTTGTCATAAAAAAGGGAAAACTGTCACTCTGCTTTCTAAAGATTAAGATTTTACAATAAAGACTTGTTTCTATTTTTATATATTATGGACCCCGTTCCATGGTAGACTGCCTTTTGGGGAACAAATATTGATCATATTTGTTAAATTAAAATTAAAATCAGAGTATTAAATCCTGTTTTTACTTCATGTGTGTTTTCATGTTTACTCTCCAGTCTTTCTCTTGTCTCATGCCCTTGTGTTATTTTGCACTTTACTTTCTTCCTGTCCTCCCCTTTGTCATCCCTTTTCTCCCACCCTCTCTCTGCCTCCTCATCCCCTCTCACCCTGTCTTTCCCTAACCCCTCTGTTTCTCTGCTCTCCCCTGTGCCTGAGAGTCAGTTGCCCACCCTAAATCAGCAAGCTGCCGAGGATTGTGGGAACCCATGGAATCGCCGTGACCAGGGATGCAGGCAGGGAGCCACGGCAACGCTGGAATGTGGGGCGTCTGAGGAGATAAGAGTTGTGTGCCCAGCCAGGGAGCGGGGAGGGATGCAGCGAGAGAGGAGCGAGGGGAGGTGAGGAGGAGGGATGAGGCAGAGTGTGGAGGGTGAGACGGAAACGGGGAGAGAGCACAAGTCTGTGAATGGGGGGGGAAACAGAAACACAACACCATAAACAGCCCAGAGAGCAAGACAGAGTGAGACGGAGAAAAAAAAGAGGGGTGGGGGGACTTAGGGGGGCACACACTGGAGATGGGAAGCCAGCCTTATTCCTCTTTGCATTTCATTTACATCCCTGGCCGTATCGACCAATCGGATTGGGAGCAAAGCCCAGGGCTTAGGAGGGGAATAAAAAGACAAAATGCCTTTGCTGCTCTCATCCCTCCCTGATAATACCCCTTCTGTTTTTCTTTTCTCTTTTTCTCCCGTCTATAAGTAGATACTGTCCGAAATGCCAGCGGAAAAGCGACACCTCCGCTTGCTGTGTATCTCAGATAGACCGAGCGGGAGCAGGGGCTGAAAAGACAGCTTTAGCAACTGGGCCTATCTCCTCTCCTCTCTCTGGCTGGATGGAAGCTTGGAGTGGAGGGAGGCGGAGGGCCGGGCTGTGTTGGTTAGTGTTTGGGAAGAGAATAGAGGGTGTGAGAGGCATGATATACTGAGCTGGCCACAGATTTTGCAGAATCTTGCACTCTGAAAAACTTTGCCTGCAGATCCCTCTCCTAAGCATGAGAAACCTGTTTCAAGGATGTTTATGAGGTGCCACCCATCTTTGTGGAGGTTGCCAGTTGCTCTCCACACGTATTTTTAGCTCGGGATTGTTGTCAGTGCACAAAGTTGCAGGTTTATTTGAAACTGCAACTCGTGTTGTCGTCCGGTTTACTCCTAATTAAAAATCCTACTTGTAATTAATTACTACCTGTAATTAACATTTGAAAACATTTTGGCTAAAATAAACATTTTCCTATCAACGTGTATTGGGTAGAATTAGGTCCATTAGCACAGTCTGTGTTGACATGACAACAAGACTGACTCGTCTCAGGTTCTTGTTTGCTGTCACTCTTGCTGTGCGTTTCTCAGTGTGTGGTGGCCACTGTTTGTGTGTCTCCAGTGCAGGTACAGTGTGTTTGCAGACTGACTTTATTTGTACAGGTGTTTGTAGCAGCCTTCGTTGAGTTCATGTTTGTATTTGGGAGGCGTCTCATCTATTGTGTCAAAATGTGCTTTAGCTGATTGTAAGAGTCTTTCCTGTATTTAAGCGACCATTGTCACACATCCTTGTGTAGGCACAGCCAGACTATTGTGCTGCCACAGGACCCAGCGATGGCCTCGCTGCTGATATAGAGCTTATTGAAAGTGATTGTTGTTGCACAGACAAGCATTCATCTCAACTGGGGTCTGCAGCGCAGCATTCAGACCTTGAGAGGGCTCTTTACCAGCTCCCGCCAAATGCCTGTGAGAGATAAGGTCACCTTCGGACCCTGTGTGGGCACCCTCATCATTCACAGCATCCTCATCCTCCTTAGCCTGCACGACCTCACCCTTCGAAAACAAATCAAACAATGGAGGCAGATATGTGAGGGATTAGAGGTCAGAGGGTTGGGGAATGAGACATCTCCATTTCCAGGATCAATCTTCAAGCGCTCAGTAATCTCTGGCCCCAGGCCTCATGTACCCCTAGTGGTCTCTGGTTGAGAGCTGGCATTGCCAGGCTGGTTCACCTTCGGGGTTAGAGGTGCTGATTGGAAAGTGGGGAGTGGGGGTTGTATCCTGATGTGTGAGTGGAAAAGCAGAGGAATGAGTAATAATAGGTCCTCACTCTTTTATCACCTCACCCTAATCCTCAACGATAAATGTGTAAATTCATGTGTATATCTGTTTACAACATATTAGTTAACGTACATACTTCAATCTGTGTCTGTGTGCTAAGTATGTGCACAGTAAAGTTTGCTCTAATCTGTAAATTTGCGTATGTGAAATAACTTTTGAGTTCTTCAGAGCAAACTGAATATTATCCCCGAGTTTTGGTTGTTATCTTGTGTACACACATTTGTTTATTTGATACAGCCCCTCTCCACTATGGCACTTATGTATATCAAAGACAGCAGTGCAGAGCGTAATTGAAAATGGCTACCGTGGAGAAAGGTCTCTCTCTGCTTTGACTGCGGAGAGGCAGAAAAAGCCCCATTCTCCACTCCCTTCTTAGATCTATTTAAATAATTGAGGAGTAAACTGACAAATTAGGCACCTTTATGGACGCCCCTGGGCTCTCTCTGGGGTCCTCGAGTTTCCCCCAATACAAGAGAGCGCTACCAGGCACAGGATAATATCTCTGTGTGCTTTGAGAGAGACGCAGGGAGGCGGGGTGAGGATGGGAGGGTAGTGGGCCAGGAGGGGTTTCGCCAATCAAGCGGGCCACACTTCCTCCCCCAGGTTCTAATTTTGTGCCACATTAAAGAGCTCGGCCTCCATTTAGGACACAGAGAGGCATTTTCATAATTTGCCGGGTCTCTTGACTAGCTCGGGGTATCTTTTTTCCTCTCACTCCTCCCTCCCTCTCTCTCTCTTTCTCTCACTCCGTGTCTGAATGGAGGGCCTGGGGAGGAAGAGGGGGTAATTCATTCGCCTCCTTCCAACCAACCAGCTTCAGTTCTGCATAATGTTGCTGCTAGGTGTGTATAGCAGCTAATGTGTATCTCTTTAATAATTCTCTATTAGACCTGAATATGATGCCACGTTAAAGCCTGCACTGCTCATTGTCAGCTACAAAGAAAATGGTGTCATTCACGTTTTGTCGACTCATTAAGGATGATTCACACTCTGCATTCAGCATCCTGTGAGGAGACTGTGACGGATGTAACCTATGACCATGCAGTAATGGAGCGGAGGCTGATCAAATCTGTGATGCAGTATATTTACTGTACATAATCTAGATTTGAAGTAGTTTCATTTCTTCCTCCTGACACCATCCATTCATGCGGCGCGGCGTGTGTACGCATTGATTCATATGTGATTGGTCACATAATTCACAGTCTCAGGGGGCATTTCATCACTGACAGACGAGCTAATCTAAAATCCCCCAATTTACAAATGAAAATCCCACCATCCAATTGAGCTAATAGAGGGACTTGAATGGGATAATAAGATGTGGTGTAATACTGTGTAAAAAGCCTGTAATGTTGTGTTGGTGTAAGAGCCTGTATGACTGGGTGTTTGACTGTTTGCAGTGATTACAGAGGCCTGCGGGCCTGGCGGCGGCTCTGTGGCTGGGACAGGGAGCTTCTCCCTGGGCAAGGAGATACGCCTGTCTGCCCCCTTCTGCTGGAGCTACAGGGACCAGGGTGTCAGTAGGGGGAGTGCTCCCTGCGAGCTCTCCCACACTCTCTCTCTCTCTTTCTGTCTTTCCGCTCTCTGTCTCTTTCCGTCTGTCTCTCTCTCCCTCTCATCTCGCTGCGTCTGTACTATTGCAGTGCTTGCAGATGTGCACAAACAAGGGAGGATTAAAGCAAAACGAATCTAAACAGACAAATGGAATTAGAGTGATGGGTGTCGGTGGGCTGGTTCACAGTGATAAACATAATGATGCTCTGTGAGTGTGTGTGTGTGTTCCTGTGTCTAGGGGATTATCGGTGGTTAGGTGTGTGGTGTGTATGGCTGGGTGACTGCTTCTGGGTGTCTTTGTGTGTTTGCCTATCTGTCTATGTTTTTGTAATTATGTGTGTGTGTATTTACTCTACTTGTGTGTCTGATAAATGTGTTATTCCATATTGCCTCACAAAAACAAGCCTGTGCGCCCTCTGCATGGGTGTTGGTATGTTTCTGTGTTTCCCTGATGTTCGGGATCATACTTCCTCCTTGTCTTTCACAGTGTCTGTTTGTGTTTGTGCACTGCAGCTACCTAAGCCTGTTACGGCTCCGCTGCACATAAAATCTCCTCACCCACTATTGACACACACCTAGAAAGATGAGAAAATATTTGTGGAATATGAAGGTCTCACACTAAATCATCAGTGGGCCGTGCAGTTTATGTGCAGATGTTGTGTTTTCTTGTGCCAGGGGTCTGTGTGTTTGTGAGCTGAGGAGGTCAGGAGTGTGTGGGGTGCCAGCAGGGGGGCAGTGATCAACAGTCTGGGGCTCCCCTGCCGAGGGCCTCTGGGATTAGGGCTAAACCCTGCCCAGCCAGATGGGCACAACACATCCTCAACATCGCGCACCAGCACCTTTAGGACTCCACTTGCCCTGCCCCCCTTAAGTGGAGTGGAACCAGGGTGATGCTCAATGGTACGACTCTACTTACACAGAAGTCAATAAAGCACATCTCACTATATTCTATTTGAGGTTTACACAACTATATTCATAATTACATGTCATGTGAGTGACTTTGTCATCAACCATCTCTTCTCAGGGCCAACAGAGCAGCGGTGGCGGCAGGAGAGACGTCGTGAGATGAGGTACTCCTCAAAGTGTCAGCTAGTGAACAAAATGGCCAGTCAGCAGGTTCAAGGGGGTCGGAAATGAAACTCGCAGGTTGTTTTGATGTGCAGAGCCACAGGCAACACTGAAATGATAAAGTGTGTGTGTGTGTGTGTGTGTGTGTGTGTGTGTGTGTGT